CACTGGCCTTGTTGTTAGCCAGGCTTTCTAAGGCCCACTTGACTTCACTCTCCAGGATGTCTGGCTCAAGGTCAGCAACTACATTGTCTGGGTTGTCCGGGATATCCAAATCTTTCTGATATAATTCCTCTGTGTATTCTTGCCACCTCTTCTTGATGTCTTCTGCTTCTGTTAGGTCCCTCCCATTTTTGTCCTTTATCATGTCCATCTTTGCACAAAATGTTCCTCTAATATCTCCAATTTTCCTGAACAGATCTCTGTTTTTTCCTTTTCTGTTATTTTCCTCTATTTCTTATAACAGAAAAATGTGTGCATTTCAACAGTACAGTTTGTAACTCTTTTGAATATCTTACGATTTTAAACTTTTTAATCTTTTTAAAATAAATTTTATTTTATATTCTACCCAAGTGTGATCCTTGAATGTCTAATGAAAGGGCCTTAGCCACAGGCTCTGATGGCTATTTTGTTCTTTTTGTTCTTTCGGTGTCCTACCTTATCAGGCTGATGTGAAAGTCTTAAAGTACACAGTCAACAGTTATACCGAAATAAGGGAATAATGGAAATCTAAGGTTAAAAGCTTGCCAATAGTTGCCCATTCACGCATCTTCTAGGTTACACACAGCCTAGGGTTCAAGGGGTGGTGGAATTTGGGAACTAAAGTTGGCACCGTCCCCTAATGGAAGAGCACCCTTTAAGGAGGGGCATTCCTGACCCAGACCCAGAAGAGAAAATAACCAAACAGCACTAGTTGTCACCTTCAGTCCACAACAGAGGGCGCTCACATGTATCATAAATGATCTTCAACCCAGCCTTGACCAGAATACATACAGTACTTTGCTCTCTCAAGCCCCTGATGGTAGACTTGTACTTGATTACAGATTGTGACTGGGTTCTGGGGCAATTCTCAATTTCTCATATCTCCCCCCACCCCTGGCAATTAGACTTCAGATTTAACAGTAACATTTTTATTTAACAATTTAAATGGTTGCTCCAAGACCACTTTAAAGGGTTTGTCTCCATACACCAATGGATAAACATTGTTTACATTATCAGGTTCTGAAACCAATAAAATTTCTTAACAGTTGACCCCACCAAACCTCTCATGATCGTATGAAGGATAAAGGGGTTGACACCATTTTCCTTTTGTTCCTTTTCCCTTGATCTTTAGCTTCTCTTTCCAACCTCTTCTGTTCTCTCCACTCTTTCTCTCCGCAATGTAAAGGCTTCAGGGGGATTTTTCTATTCCTCATCATTTCTGCTCCTTCTCTTGGTATTCTGAATGCAATTCTTTAGTCCAAGGATCCTCTAGCTCAGCCTGTTCGTATTCTCCTCCTGCCTTGTTCTCTGACAATCCTTTGTCTCCCAACCTTTCTCCTTTTATATCATCCCCCTTCTTCGAGTTGTTTCTCTTTTTTCCCACCTCTTCTAATCCTTCTAAGGCCTCCTATTGGCCTTTCCCCATCTATGACCTTCCCTCCTTCAGTTTCCATGCAAGGTGTTTCATCTCAGTCTTTCACCTTCTTCAGGGCTTTGGTGAGAAGTCTATTCCCCTGTCATGCAGTCCAATGTCAGTGGATGAGCTGGATGGGGGAAGAGGAAGCCAGCTCACTTGTGCAAAGGTTGTCAGTCTTGCCACCTTTCTTACACAGTCTCCCCTAATCTCAAGCAACTGTTGACACACAGTGACATACACAATGTTGATACAGAATAGGGACAAATCATAGAATCATAGAATAATGGAGTTGGAACAGGCTGATAAGGCCATTGAGTCCAACCGCTTGCTCAATGCTGGAATCCAAATCAAAGTATATTTGACAGATGGTTGTCTGGTTTTCTTTTGAATGCCTCAAACATTGGAGCTCTCACCAGCTCCTGAGTTAATTGGTTTCATTGTGGTATTGCTGCAACAATTAGGAAGTTTTCCTGATATTGAAATGAATCTGGCTTTCTGTAACTTGAGCCCATTATTTCTTAGTCTTTCCTCATTGGGCTTGGTTTCCAGTGCCCTGTCTATCTTTGTTGCTTTTCTTTGAACTTGTTCCATTTTGTCAGCATGCTTCTTAAAGAACTGAAGACAATACTCAAGATGAGGCCTAACCAGTGCTGAATAGAGGGGAATTAGTACTTCACATGATTTGAATATTAACATAAAGCTGGCTTTAATAAGTTATACCTGAATGCTGTTAATATTATTTTTTTCTTTCTTGTGCTTTCTTTTTTCTTGTATTGCTTTTAAATCTCGATCAGTGAACCCCTATACTGATTGCAATATTTTATGGGGCATGTGAGGGTCTTCGTTTTATTTATAAATCATCCAGAGTAATGTGTTCACTAAAAATGCAGTATAAATAAATCAAATAAATAAATAAAATGTTCATTATGTATTCCAGTTGCAAGAAAGAGATGCCAATGAGCGCAGCAACTATAGAACCATTTCTTTAATTTCCCATGCAGGCAAAGTAATGCTCAAAGTGTTGCAATAAAGACTTTTCCCTTATATGGAGTGAAAAATGACTGATGTTCATACTGGATTCTGAAATGGAAGAGGCAGTTGAGATCATATTACTGATATCCACTGGCTACTGAAGTACCAAAGAATTTTAGAGTAATATCTGTCCTGTGCTCTGATCCTCTTTTCAGCCAGAAGAATTGAGGTAACCTTATCAACTGACCTTCTGGAATCCATATGTTGCTGTTAAATGCCAGGTCAGTCCAAAATAAATCTGACCTAACATTAGATCTGATAGAAGATGAAAAGGCCAACCTTTTAAAACTGAGTCCTGGGTGGGAGAGGAAGGGGAAGTAGTCCTTTTGCAACTATGTACCACGGGACGTTCAATCCAGCATCATAGCAGGTCAGAAGGGTGGGGAGGAGATGCTGTAGTCCATTAAAAATCCATTAACATTAGCAAGATCTCTGTCCTGTTGTGCCCTGGTCTGGGTGTCTTCACCTCACGATGGACTATTGGGGCAGAACAGGACTAGTGTATCACTCTCCCTGCTATCCAACTTACTATCAGAATTGACAGAAGATGTCTCCAGTGCTGGGTTGAGGTCCTTGTGACTTTTTAGTTCCAAGGTATTTCATCATACATGTGGAGACAGTTGACTGGAGCAGGTCTTGATTTCAGAGAGGTTATGGCTCCATGGGCCCATGCTTGTTGCATGTCACACCCACAATCTGGTGTTTACATCGGGATAGGGAAGGGATGATCTGAAGGTAGTCTAGTATGAGTCCTACTCCTTATCATAGTCACATAATTTCCTTCTGAGATGTTGACTCTATGCAACTGAGTTATCTTATTTTAAATTAGGTCATTTGTAGAACAAATAACTTCCATTCATCTTTAAACATGTAATATGACTTACAGTAATTGTACTTTCAATTTAGTTAAGCAATTACAAAAATACACTTAATTCACAAATTCAGATACACAAGTTTGCTGTGGTTTTGATTGTTGTTTTAACCTTAAGCTTAGTTTGGGAGCATATGTACTAGGGGTTCTTTAAAGTCCTGGTAAAAGACACTATTGATTCACCAACGAACATACAGATAATAGATTAATATCACAAAGTGAAAGCTTTGAGTGATGTAGTCTTTTGGAACTCCATTTTTATTCTTTCAAATGCAATAGTGAACAATCATAATGCACTAGCTAAAAGGAAATCTGTTGTTAAGTTGTAAGGTGTAGTAGTTTAATGTTCAGGAAATAGTTGGATATTAGAAGGGGGAAAAGATTAGTACAGAAGAAGAGATAACAGGAAATATCACATAGAAGTTACTGACGGTACAATAAAGAAGTCATGTTACGGCCTTGTTTAGTCATGCTCCACTTCCATTTGATGATATGAATACTTGACAGTTAAGGAGTTAGTTACCCAAATCTTTGGAAAGACCTAATGGTTAAAGGAAATGTGAAATTATCCTTCCTGATTTTATTTCTTCAGTGATTGTACATTCACATTTAGATCACCAGTTTAAGTCAAACAGTGGATATAAAAACTTTACACACCCCTGTTAAAATGTCAAGTGTCTGTGATGTAAAAAAATGAGACAAAGATACAGTATTTCAGAACTTTTTCCACCTTTAATGAGACCTATGAACTGTACAACTCAGTTGAACAACACACTGACATCTTTTAGGTGGAAGGAAGTAAAAAAAACCTGAAATAATATGGTTGCATCTGTGTGCACACCCTTAAACTAATACTTGTGATGATCTGAAGGAGAGTGGGATTTGTAGTCAAAGAAAATGGAGACTGTTAGGTTCAAAGTGACATGATTTTAAGGCATTGGAATACATTAGGCAGTGAGACTGTTTTTCAGATTCACTGACTGCCTGTTACAGAGAGAACTGTGATAACAAGGCAAGGACAAAGAGGCCCAGTGAAACCCAAACACGCATATCGTTTTAACTGGCAGCGAAATAACTCACCTGGACTTAATGAGAATTCTGGGTGGAGGGTCGTATTAAACCTCTTTGAAGTTAATTGGTTTAGAGCTATTGAGTATCAAAGTAGGAGGTCTTAGGGATGTAAGAAAAGATGGATGATGGGATGTGTTAGAGAATCGAGCATCAGATGGATTGTGTTATGGGATAGATTGCTTACAGAATGTAGCAAGGAAAATCAGTTTGGTTGTTGTGGGTTTTCCCGGCTGTTTGGTCGTGTTCTTAAGGTTTTTCTTCCTAATGTTTCGCCAGGCCAGCCTCTTCAGAGGACATGAGTCAGAACTCCTGTCTTTTTAAAACCAGAAGGAGGAGGAGGGAATAGTCCACCTTAGAAGCTACAATGATTACTTAGCTTAGTTTTTAAAGTTTCTTATTTTAATAAGAAATAGCAGCTTTATTTAACCATTGTAATCTTGGATATGTTTATGCTATGTTTAAGTTCTTTAAGACTAAGCAAAAATTTTCTTTTGCAGTCAGGCTTGTCCATGAGACTTATGCTAAGCACTTCTAGGGTTTAGAGGATCTACCTCAGAGAGAAGGTGGTAGATTTGCGCCCACAGTGGCTCCCTGTCCAAACTTCATACTCTCTTTAGGGAGAGCTTGAGTGTCACAATACTTTGTCGAAGCACCTTTTGATTTTATTACAGCACTCAGCCTTTCTTGGTATGAGGCTATTAATATGGCACATCTTGACTTAGCAATATTTGCCCACTCTTCTTTGCAGATCAATCCATAGATAATTCAATGAGATTCAGGTCTGGGCTCTGGCTGGGCCATTTAAAAACGTTAATCTTCTTCTGGTGAAGCCATTTCTTTGTCGATTTGGATGTACGCTTTGGGTCGTTGTCATGCTGAAAGATGAAGTTCCTACTCATGTTTAGCTTTCTAGCAGAAGCCTGAAGGTTTTGTGCCAATATTGACTGATATTTGGAACTGCTCATAATTCCCTCTACCTTGACTAAGGTCCTTGTCCCAGCTGAAGAAAAACAGCCCCAAACCATGATGCTGTCACTACCATGCTTCACTGTGGATATGGTGTTCTTTTGGTGATGTGCAGTGTTGTTTTTGTGCCAAACATACCTTTTGGAATTATGACCGAAAAGTTCAACCTTGGTTTCATCAGACCATGACACTTTTTCCCACGTGCTTTTGAGAGACTTCAGATGTGTTTTTGCAAAATTTAGATGTTTTTTTTCCTAAGAAAAGGCTTCCGTCTTGCCACTCTACCCCATAGGCCAGACATATGAAGAATACAGGAGATTGTTGTCACATGTACCACACAGCCAGTACTTGCCAGATATTCCTGCAACTCCTTTAACATTGCTGTAGGCATCTTGTCAGCCTCCCTGACCAATTTTCTTCTAGTCTTTTCATCAATTTTGCAGGGACGTCCAGTTCTTCATGTCACTGTTGTGCCATATTTTCTCCACTTGATGACTGTCTTCACTGTGTTCCATGGTATATCTAATGTCTCGGAATTTCTTTTGTACCCTTCTCCTGACTGATACCTTTTAACAATGAGATCCCTCTGATGCTTTGGAAGCTCTCTGTGGACCATGGCTTCTGCTGTAGGATGCAACTAAGAAAATGTCAAGAAAGACCTACTAGCACAGCTGATCCTTATTTGGGATTCCTCAGAGGCACTTTAAATGATGGCAGGGATGTACCGACTCCTACTTTACATGAATTTGAATGTGATTGTTTACTGCTGAACACAGCTAGAATCCCCAAGTATAAGAGGGTGTGCATACAGATGCAACCATATTATTTAATTTTTAATTTTTACTTCCCTACACCTACAAGATTTCAGTTTGTTCTTATTTTTTTATCATAGACACTTGACATTTTAACAGGGGTGTGTAAACTTTTTATATCCACTGTAGTTGACAGAGGTGCGGCATTACCAGACTACGCCAGGGGGCGTTATGGTGAAATGAACTGCTCAGAGATGAAACCAAACAGACACTGTTGTAGTGTTGATAGAATTATTTACATTAAAGTTCATATATACAGGTACAAATACAACTTCTCTTGGTCTTTACACAGTCCTGGTCTTTCACAGTAGTTCTTCAGTTTGCAATAGTAAATTACAGGTTCAGTATCTAAAGATTGTTACCAATATAAATAAACCATGGCTTCTGCTGTAGGATGCGACTAAGAAAATGTCAAGAAAGACCTACTAGCACAGCTGATCCTTATTTGGGATTCCTCAGAGGCACTTTAAATGATGGCAGGGATGTACTGACTCCTACTTTACATGAATTTGAATGTGATTGTTTACTGCTGAACACAGCTAGAATCCCCAGGTATAAGAGGGTGTGCATACAGATGCAACCATATTATTTAAGTTTTTTATTTTTACTTCCCTCCACCTACAAGATTTCAGAATTCTCCCTCATTTTTTTTATCATAGACACTTTACATTTTAACAGGGGTGTGTAAACTTTTTATATCCACTTTAGTTATCAAATGAGAAGCATGCATTTTTGACCTGGGACCAAGCTGTAACTTTTCTTTAGAACAGCTTGACTTGCAGCACTGCTAACCTCCAGTATACTTTCTCAAGAACAGATGCTGTTTCGCAGCACTGCTAACCTCCAGTATACTTTCTTGACTCAAGAACAGATGCTCTTTTTTAAGTTGCTTGTAGAAAATGACATGAAGGAAGATAGTCACTCCTGTAAAAAACACTTTTCAGTTTTCTTTAAAGTGGCTTGAGCATAATAATATGCTCTACAATCATGCTGTTTTTTCTTGCTTTTAAAACAATGGCCAAAAACCTGTTGTGTAAACATAAATGAAGTTATAAGTTTCAGTTTGCTAATTGCTGATTGAGGGGGAATGCCCATATCTCACCTGTCCATCATGTGTAGCTCTAGAGCTATAGCCTATGAGAGGACAGGAGGGCAGAGTCAGAGGGAGAGTTGGAGACAGAGAGTGAAGGAGAGAGGTTTTGAAGGTTTATGAGAGAGATTGGAAAGTTGGTGTAGTTGGTTGATGTGTTAAAGAATAGTTAATGGGTAGAAGTATAATAAAATAGATAGACAGTCCTCAGATCTTATTCCAGTGATTGATGTGAAGTAATACAAATAAAGTAACGTGTTTAATATCCAAGTTTAATGGGTGTAACATAATAAAATATCTATGAACCTATTTGTGTGAGTCAACAACCAAATAATAAATACTGTAATCAGTTATGTTCAACAACACATTTCTATGCAACATTATTGGTAAAGTGTGGATAAAGATCCACTGGTGGCAGTTGGTGAAAGGAGAAATAAGCAAGTCATGTCCAAAGGTGGACCTGGGTTTGAGGGAAACAAACTAGGGACACTGGGGGTGCGCGGCACTGATAAATAAAGAGACCCCACCACTTAGGGTTTATGCACATGCACGAAGCCGATGTGCATGTGTGCCCCAGAAAATCACAGTGAAGGCACTCTATGTACCAGCATGGAATGAGCCAAAACTTACAACTTTGTTTACATCACACAACAGAATTTTAGCCAATTAGTTTTAAGAATCAGTATATTCAATTAGAATCTTGTATTAATAGCAGTTGCATCACCCTCAACATTGACTTATGTTTAAGATAAAGGATTTGACCTGAATAAAGAGAAAAATGAACTGGGTAGCATAACCAAAATGAAGAAAATTCAAAGTGAAACACCCTACTGATATTATGGAACAGTGCTAGTACTGATCGATAGTTGAAACATGCATCAGTTTAATTTTTAGTTAAGCTTTTTATAAAATCTCATGTAATCGTAATTTTTCCCCCCAGCGACTTTTTGAAGCACCGTATTGCTCACTGATGTATTGCAACCATTTTTCCAGCTGAAATACCTGTCAAGATGTTCAAAAATGAGTATCAGGTAAAGTAGAAATGTTTCTAATGCGTATTAACTTACATATCTTTTACAAATGTGAAAAACAAATAGAACAAAATATTGGATATGTCAGTCTGTGAATGAGTAGTAGTTGAAAAATTTGTGTATTGATTTAGAAGTATCCTGTATGACAGTGATTTTATATATATATATATATAGTGTAAGAAGAAATTATTTTCATTTCTACTATATAGCATTCTAAGGCTTCTTTGAAAACTTGACCAAGAGTTTGACATTTTGGCAGGCACTGATAGCCAATCATTAATTGTGATTATCCACAATTTTGCCCCTCCAGAGTCCCCTCTGAAAAGTGTGTGAGAAAGGGAGGGTGTGTAGGCATCCTTCAGTCTCGAAAGACTATGGTATCGTGCTCTGTATGGAGGACTTGGAACAGCGTCTAGTGTGGCTGAGGAGGCCAATTCGAGAGTGACAATCCCTTCCACACTGGAGACAAATCCAATCTGTCCCCTGTCCAGCTCCCTGGTTTTGCTTCCTTTGTGACTTCCTCTTTGCCTCAGCCTGCTGGACAAGGGTCTCTTCAAATTGGGAGAGGCCGTGATGCACTGCCTGCCTCCAGGCTGAACGATCAGATGTCAGAGTTTTCCATCTGTTAAGGTCTATTCCTAAGGCCTTCAGATCCCGCTTGCAGATATCCTTGTATCGCAGCTGTGGTCTCCCTCTGGGGCGATTTCCCTGCACTAATTCTCCATATAGGAGATCCTTTGGAATCCGACCATCAGCCATTCTCACAATGTGCCCAAGCCAGCGTAGACGTCGCTGTTTCAGTAATGTATGCATGCTGAAAATTCCAGCATGCATACATTATAATGAAGATGTCAGAAAATCAAAAATGTCTCTCTAGGTTATTTTACTAATACAGAAGGAACAATACTTCTGTTTTCACATGGACCAGAGAATTAATTGTTTCTGAACGTGTAGAGACAAGTTCCCATGTTTGACATTAATATGCTTTCATTTTAATTGTCTTAACTATAGAAACACATACACATATATAAGTTTAAATTTCATTGGCTATAATCCTGTTGTGCGTCTCCATATGATTATGTTATTGTCAGTGGTCAATTGCTGTTAATCAAGGTGATTCTCAGGTGTGCATAACTCCTACATAAATTGACAAAATCATGTACATCCTGAAATCTCCAATGGCAGTTTGCTGCTACTGGCGCCATCATCACCATTGTGCATACAGAGCTCTGGAAGAGGATTCTGTCCATTGAATCCAAAATTTTACTTCTATGTAAAGAAAAAATGGGTGGAATTTTACCTGAAAGAACTTTTAAAGAACCCTTTGGTCTCATCTCTCTCTCTCTCTCTCTCTCTCTCTCTCTCTCTCTCTCTCTCTCTCTTCTCTCTCCACAC